CAACCAGTTAATCTCCTCCCCATGAAACCTTTAGCATTTGCAATTTTTTTTTCAAAGACCTGGGGAAACCTAATTTGGCACCTCTGCTGTGTTTCCTCTTCCTGTTTCCCATTGCTCGTTTTCTCTCTGTTTTACAGTGTGGAAATTTAAAGAGAAAGTGTATGGTGACAAAACAGAAAACAAAGGAGGAGGGAGTACAGGTGTCCAGGGTTGAGGGTGGGGCCGCAGGGTGTGCCCTCAGCTTCAGATCCAGGTGACTGGGTGATATAGGTGTTTCTTCGCATAGTCACATCCTGTGAAAGCCAAGTCCAAGGACAAAGGCAACAAGAGTTGCCTGTGGGAACCTTACTTCCATCTCCACCCAAATTCTCAAACACATCCTTGATATATTGGCCCAACCTACTTTCAGGCTGAAGGCTGGGTCACGTAGCCCCAAGAACCAGTCCCCCCACCACTGCCCCATACTGTGACAGGAAAGCTAAGGCCAGGAATTCCTCTAACTCATCTTGTAGAAAGCAATGCCTCTAAAGCCACAAGCGCCCTCTTGGCCTTGACCATCTGAGAACTGTGGGAAACTTTGCTCTATTCCTGAAGGTACAAATGCTACTTATCTCAAACCTAAAGAAATATTAAAAAAAAGAAAAAGAAGAAAATCATTTTAATTGGTACCTGGTATTGTCATGGCATAGATTCCAGCCTTCAGATAGGCCTTCACTGAGATCAGGGCAAAACCCAATCGCTGGTGTGAAGGGCAATGTCTGTGATTGTGGTTAAGACCCGTCTCTGATAAGCAGGACTCAGAAGGACTAAACATTTAACAGTGACATGGCTGGGAATTAATGCAGGATGGACTCAGTAAGGATATAGCTGAAGGGAATTTTATTTCCATGGCTTTTTTCATGCATGGCATGTGAGCTTAATGGAGAAGGGAGAAGGAGAAAGATGACGGACTAGACTGGAGGGCATGGAAGGCTTCAGTAAGACCAGGGTCAGGAGAGAAGGTTTTGGTAAACAAGAGACAGCAGAGATAAGAATTCGGAAGTTAAGAAAGTTTTAAAAAGGAGAAAGAAAGAAAGACGTGTGAAAAGTGGGAAGTCAGCTCTTAAGATAAGATGGAGAGGCCAGAGGAGGAAGGGCAGTTGATAACGAGTATTGATAAAATGAAACTGCTATTTCCATTTGAAAACAAACATGTTTGATGTGCTGGGAATCCTAGCACAGAAGGGTCCATGTGGGGCTGAGGTTCAGGGCACTTGCTGGCACTAGCCCCTCATCACCATCCCCTGTACCTCTGGGCCATCCAGGGACCTTGCCAACCCAAGCAAGCCCTGTAGTCTTTGCCTTCCTTTTCATCAGTTAAAACTTACTCTTCCTGTGTCTCACTATTTAATAACCTTGGTCTATCATGGGTTAATGAGTGAATTGAATGTCTTCCACTTCACCAATTGACTAATGTGCCATCTATTTGAGAAAATTAACCATGAATAGCCACTCCTGGGCTGTTTGATAATTACTGATTTATTTAATATCTCTGGCTCTCCATTTCCTTAAAAGAGATGGAGTTAATAATACCTGAGAAAGAGGTGATATTTGAGTCAGGCTGCTGAGTGAAAATGGAAGGGGAGGGCTCCAGGGCTCCATACATACAAGGTAGGAGAGGAGGAAGGTTGTCTCAAGGAAATGAATGTAGCGACAAAATTGCCTGATAGACTGCAAGCTGAGTATAATTATGGTTGCATCCTCGAGGGGTAAGGCAGAGCCATGCAACATGTCCCAGAGGGGCCCGGACTTCCTATTATGTTTATTAATCATCTTGATGAAAATGGAAAGTCTGCACTGATTAAATTCACTAATGATCCTAAACTGAGCAGGGGAGTAAATTCTAGAAACGATGGATTTGTAAGGTGAGTGGTAATATTAATCAGCTCATCTTATGAAAAGGGTGGCAGTAAATGAAATGGGATTTGCCATAGATAATGGCAGTGAGGCATATACCTGGGGGGGAATTATAATGAGCCTAGTTCCAAACTAGGAAGCTTGTTATTTAGGAAATAATAATGGCACGAGAGCTCTAAAGTGGAGAGTGAATAATAAATTAAAAACAAGCTCAAAATAAACTCTCATTATGGATCACAATTTCACTCTCAGCATTTTTGTGCTGGGCTCAGGGAGTGTGGAAGAACCTTGGGGTGCAGCATTGACATTTTGTAGGCAAGGAAACTGGGACCCACAGAGATTGGGCATGAGTGACTCATCAGAGGTGGCAAAACCCGGGCACACTCACTACTATGTGCCCTGCAACGGTGACACTGGAGATCGTCACTTCTGAGACTCCTACGTGTAACATCACACTCAAAGCCAGCCCTGATCACCCAGCTTGTGAGGAGTTCTCTTTCGCCATCTCTAGCTTGGGTCCTAGAGCTAGACACTGGCGGAGCAATGGCTAAAACTAAATTCCTGATTCATCTCTTACTCTGTAAGTTCTGAACTGAGCTGAACTTCAAAATTCAAATGCTCAGAAAGCAGAACTGGTTTCTTACCCTGAGTTTCTACCTTGGTTTCCACCACATTCATTTGAAATCCTTGGACAGCATTAAAGAACAAATCTCCAAAACTCAGAAGTCTCAATAATTTGGGCCTGAGTTATGTACCCTTGGGGAATAACATACATCTTTTTTTTCTTTCAATTGTCCCAATGCAAAGAATTAAAATTAACCTTTGATCACAAACATTTGATAAAAATCTTTCTAAAAATTTCCTGGGACTTCAAATGTTTCTTCTGTTTTCTTTTACTCTTGGTGAGCAAAGTGAATTTTCTTTGTGCAGAAGAAGCAGTGTTGAGGGTGGTCCTGTGTGTGCCAGGTCTGTTGAGCAGGTTGGGGCATCAACCTAAGGAGGGGGTGGGGAGGGAAGACTGGCCTTGGCAGAATTAGGAAGTGTGTGCAGTTGGTCCAGTCTTGGTTCCTTTTACCTCCTTTCCTGTGTCTGTTCCCAGGAAAGCTCCTCTGAGTCCTAGCAGGGTGATTTGGGGGACCATCCCATAAGGCTGTGCTGATTGGATGAAATTGGAAGTCCAGGAGGTGCCATTCCCCTTCACAGACTCTGCAGCTCCTCCTGGCCAGCCCCATTACTGACTCAGAATAACTCTGAATTCCTCAGGCCTCTCCTCTTGTCTCCCAGTCTTCCATGGAAATCTACCTGATGCACTCTAATCTGACTCATGTCCACAGAGCTTAATGGGTCACTGCCCAGGAATTTCCTAAAGACCCACCCATTAGCCTATGCGAATGAATTAAATAGGAAATTTTACAATGGGCCTGAAAGAAAGGTCTCCTTAAGAATGCTCTTCAAATGATCATTGAATAGCCCATAAGGAAGAGTGAGAGATAACATTCACATGCTTGACCAACCATAACCACAAAGTTAGCGTCCAGGATCCCATAATTGTTTAATTTGTTCAGCACCTTGCAGCTTGAAGATAGAAAATTCACAGCCTGTGTTTGTTATCACCTCAGAGTACTGGGTGTCCATAGACCTTTTAGGACAGAAGTGGACAGTTAAAAAACTGATAGATCTCTGTGTATACTGCAACCACACAGCCTGAGGATGTGGACATACATGGTTAAGAGCTGCGTGAGATCTACAAGAACATGGAACAGTTGAAGGAACACTGGAACCTTGGCTAGATAGCTCAGGTATAACACTCAGCTTTGATACACGTTGACTGCATAGCCTTGGACAAATTACTTCTCTCTGACTTTGCATGGGTTCCCAGGACATAGATAATATCCACCTCAATGACCTCACACCGATAACAACAGATAACATTTATTGATGGCTGTTTGCCAAATACTGCTAAATGCTTTGCATGCATTACCTTCATTAACCTTATCAACACACCTATTTTGCAGATGAGAACATAGATTTGGAAAGTTTAGGCAATTTACTTAACTCTCCGTGCTCAGCAAGTGGCAGATATGGGATTCAGACTGAGCTTGACAGAACGTAGAATCCGAACTCTGGTCGGTACGCCTTGGTGTGGTGCAGGATCCTGCAAGCTGCAGGGTCATGGCATCACATCTCCAGGTCACAGATTGCTGTCTGGAGCTGAGTGAGCCTGGGAATGTGCCCTCACTTCCATAGCCTCCATGGGGTACTCATTACCCTTCACAGACCTCACTGACAGATATGGTGATCTCCTTGCTGAGTAAACTAGTGATTTTAGTCAGAAAGGAAAACAGCTGCAGAACAGAGAAGCCTGGGCTACACCCAACCCTTCTGGTCAGTCCCCTCTGTCTGTTAGGCTGAAGGCCCAGGGATGAGTCCACATTTTGCGGACTCTGAGTTGCTTCAATTTTGGAACCTTTTTTACACAACGAAACAAAAACTTGAATTCAAAAAGTAGCTGTGGGAAAACTGTAGAGATGGAGCTTTGGTTAGTAGTTGGCAGGGGTTAGGAAAAGAAAAGCTTATGACAGAGGTTGTGTTTGTAAAGGGGCAACAGGAGGGAACCTTGTGATGGTTGCGTACACCTGCCAATGGAGTCGAATAGCATAGAGCTCAATACACAAATGTGTGCATATAAAATCGATGAAATCCAAATAAGATTTGTGGTCATTATCAATGATAATTCTAGTTGTGATCTCATACTACAGTTTTGCAAGCTGCTACCTATCCCTGGGTTAAAGTGGATGAAAGACACATGAGTTCTCTCTGTATATCTCGCAACTACATGTGAATCTACAATTATCTCAGAAAGCTTAATTATTTTTTTAAAAAAAGGATAAAAGTAGAACCAGATAATCCAAAAAAGGGGGGGGGGGCAGAGTATAGAAGTTTAGCAAGATGCTTGAACGTGTAAGCTTTGCTGACTTAATGGTAAATCTATCTCTGGTCAAAAAGGCAGTTTAGAGCCCTATGTGAATGTGTACACTTTCCAGGATTATCTGCTTTAACCATGAGGAAGGTCAGTTGATTTAAAATAAACAGAAGCTACTTACCCACATATATAGGTTGACTCCACTCACTCCAAAACCCCATCTGTCTGCACACAGAGCTCACTGTGGCTCTCACTTGAATGGAATACTTAGAAATATCATCAATTATTGAGGTGAATGTATTTGTCGTAATTTTTTCTGTCTAAATGGAGAAAAAGAGCACAATAAGACTCTCTCGATGCAAAATTTAAGTAATGCCAATTATCAGAAAAGAAGGTCATACATAAGTAATCTGACTCACTTTCATATGACCCTTTTAAAATCAACAGGACACACATGGATGAGTTGATTCTAGAATGCTTCAGTAGAGATGTGTCACAGTTACCCTTCAGGGGAAAGTGATCTTGTAACCAAAATGAATAAAAAGTCAATGGTGAGTTCTAGATGATTTATCTGGGTCCGTTTGATGTTTCCAAATGAAAAGACTGGGGTGGCTTATAGCAGAATGCATAATCCCCCTCACCTTGTCCCTCCATATTCTGTAGCCATATTACTAAATACTATTCCTTGGTTTCCATCCTATCCAGCAGGCATCGGCACGCTACAATGTGTGGGCTAGTCTGGTCGGCCATCTGTTTTTGTAGAGCCTGCAGGCTAAGAATGGTTTATATGTCTCTAAATGATTGAGAAATATCAAAAAGAGTATTTCATCACACATGAAACTGAAATTTCAGTGTCCACAAATAAATTTTTACTGGAACACACCCATGCCTATTTACATATTATCTATGGTTGCTTTTGTTCCACAATGGCAGAGCTGAGTAATTGGTACAGAAACCATATGGCCTGCTAAGTCTAAAATATCTGGCCCTTTACAACAACAACAACAAATCCTGATCCCTGATGTACAGGAAGGTCTCAAACACCTGGAGACCAGGGAAGAGGAAAAACAGAGTCAGTGAATTTAGGAAAGGCTGTGTTTGAATCCTACACCCCCAAACTACCTGCAGGGCAACTTCCTTGACCCCTCTGAGCCTCTGTTTTCTCATCTGTAAAATGGGCAAAACAGCATCTAAGCATGGGTTACTGAATTAAACGCAATTCCCTATGTAATTCCAGGTTTAAAGATGTAGTAGGTTGAACGCTACGAAAACTGCCAATAGTCAACCCATTTTTGGTGAGCAAAAACAACGTTGGTTCAATATAATAATATGTGCTTGGTAAATGCGAGTTTGCCACTAGAGCAACTAGTGGTCTGGTGTTGAAACGAGGCTATTTTCTCACAAATGAGACTTTCTCTGCCATTCTCTCTCCCGGTCATTGTCCCCACCAGGACAATCCTTTGTGCCCCAAACTAGAGATGTGACACCTGCATCTTAAATTCTTCTGGGCTTCTTTCTCCTTTATTCACCCCACCCCATGGGCACCACCTGATTTTTCTTGCTATCTTTCACTTGGACAGTTGCCACAGCCATTAACCCAACGCGCCTATGTCCACATGGCCCCTCCACCTGTGTCCAGCTTTCGTGCTGCTCCCAAAATTATTCTTCAATTTTGCAGATGTGGTCACAGTTCTGAATGAATAAAACTCTCCAATGGCTTTCAGTACCGAGGGCTATGGTTTTAAAAAGAGAAACCACTCCTTTTTTCTTTTCTTTTATTTTTTTTTCAAAATTCCAGTCATTCTGGGAGCAGTCCCAGTGTAGAATCTAGAGTTATTATTCCAATGTTGGCTTTATGTCCAGGCCGACTCAATTACTGCCACTTGGCTGAGGGAACTATGCTCTTTTAAGCCTTTGAGTTATGCCTCTGCCTAGACCCCTGCCACTTAAAGTGTGGTTGGCAGATTGGTGGGGGTCAGGAGCTGTTTATTACTGATCTGCAGTGAGGTAAATACAGAAATGGACACAATAATTTAGGGGCTTTTGTAGCAATGTGACATCCCCACAACATCCAAGCTGGTGACTGGGTGTGTCTCTGGGTATATTTGATTTTCCTAGCATTTCATTTTTACCCTATTTTCCAAAAGAAACAATTAGAAATTAAATTAGAGATCTAATTAGAAGTTAAAAACTAAAATAAAGAAATCTAGCCTTTTAGCATTGGTATTTCGGGGATCACTGGCTACACACTACCCATCTTTTGTGATTTCACTCAGTTCTTCTCGGCGGGGGCACTAGCTGGTTCCTTTGCCCAACCCCTCTTTTGCACCCCTTGTTGGCCCTTCCTCTGAGGTAGTGAGTGTGTCCACTAGACTAGGCCTCTCGATGGCAGAGCCAGTATCTTATCTTTCTTTACCTCCCACCTGGAAACCAATTTGTAAATATTTGTTGCATCAGATCGGAAGGAATTGAATTGGCTTTGCCTTCTATCAGTGAGACATGGGTTGTTAAACCCCACTTCCCTAGAGCTTTGCCAACTTGGTGACTTTGGGCAAGTGGCTTAATCTCTGCCTCACTTTCCTGTGTAATGGGGATGATAATTACTTAATGGAGTTACTGGGAAGATGGAATAAATTAGCATAATAAAGTTGGACACATAGTTGAAGTTTCATAAAAACTGGCTTTCCTTTCAGTTTCTGTCCCTTGAACTTTTTGTGCATTAATGCTAAAGAGTATATTTCAGTTGTGGTGAAACACATAAACATAAAATTTACCATCTGAACTACGTGAGCACATTCGCACTGCTGTGCACCCAGTCTCCGGCACGCTTTCGTCCTGCAATACCGAAACTCTACTCATTGAACAACAGCTCCCCCCAGGCCCCTTCCTCCCAGCTCCGGGAAACCACCATTCTGCTTTCTGTCTTTCTGAATTTGACTACTCTTGGTGTGCCGTATATGTGCGACCCTACAGTATTTGTCTTTTTGTGACTGGTTTATTTCACTTAACATCGTGTCCTCAAGGTTCATCCAGGTAGTAGTGTGTGTCAGAATCCCCTTCCTTCTAACGGCTGAACAGTAGTGCCTTATGTGTCTAGTCTACATCACAGTTTGTTTATCCATTCGTCATCTGTCAGTGGGCACTTGGGTTGTTTCTTCCTTTTGGCTCTTGTGAATAATGCTGCTATGAACAGGGACGTACAAATTTCACTTTGCGACCCTGCTTACAATTCTTTGGGATACATACCAAGACGTGGAATTGGTAGAATCTATGATAAATTTATTTTTGATTTTTTGAGAAACTGCCATGCTGTTTTCCATAGGGGCTGCAACATTTTATATTTGCACCAAAAGTAGTGCAAATGTGTTTTTATGTGATCCTTTGTGTTATTTTGAACCAAAAGTATGTCCATTCAAGACAAAAAGCCAGTAAAGCTTGGTTTATTTTTACAAAACTTGGGTAGATATAAGTTACCTTTGACCTTGTCAGTTTCAAGCTGTAACCACAGCTCTTACTGAATATAATTTTTTAAATGTTTCTAAGAGAATGCTATCATCAAATATTGGAATGATCTGAAGAATTACCTGGGAATAATTTTTCCTTGTGTTGTAAATTTTCACTTCATATTCAAAGCAGTGAATTGGAAAGGCAGAAACTGGTTTTTCCCACTGAATTGAAAGACGCAGTCCTTCAGTCTCTGCTGTGACATTCACTGGAGGATTAACGCGATCTAGGTTAGAGAATGAAAGGTCAGTGATCTGGGCTGATAAATCCAACCCACTCACACTCCCCAAGGCATTTCTAAGATACAACCGTCTCAAGTATCTACCTTCAGGATTTAATTAACTAATCTCCAAGTCCGAGGACCCCAGTGGCTCACAGATGACTCCCATAGTTATAGCACCTAAGAGATCCCTCCTCTAATCTTAAAGCATTCCTCTTCCAAATGGCATTGAAGGGTTGAGTCCCCTGGCTGTTCAGCTCATTGCAAGACCCATCACAGCATCCCCGCTTCTCAAGCTGGATCGAACTAGGTAAACCTGACCCTAGAGACAAACCCTGAAGCTTCCACCAAGCCCTGCCTCTACTGAGCAGGTGTGTGGCTCTGGGTAAGAATTTCCTCATTCTGAGCCTCGGTTTTGTTTCATTTTATCTTGTTTTGATTTGTTTGGGGGTGGGGATGGAGTGGGAAGGTTCAATTTTCTCTGCATAAAAAGGATGGGCGACATTTGTCTAACAATTCTAGAGTTCTTTCTCCTGAGTAATCACTTGATTATCTTATAGCCTTGTGATGTGGGCGGACATGATTTTTAAGCAATGCTCTCATCTCAGGCTCTGTGACTTAGATCTCATAATGATCGAATCATAGGGACAATCTAAGAATGGGACCTATTGGTTCCAGAGCCTGCCATTCCCTAAGCAGAAAAAATTTTAACCAAGAATGTATTTCTTTTAGTAACATGAGGAATTTCTCTCAAAGAAATGAAAATCATACAGGAAAATGAATTTCTGTGGTCTGTATCAGGTTGCACCCACTTTCATATTAGTATTGTTTCCCATGCCCTCCTCAGCATTTTTTATTATTTATTTTTAGAAAAGTGACATAGTTAGGTCATCTGAGAAATAGACTGTTGAATAGAATTACATAACCTCTTTAGTGAGATAGTTCCTTAAAGTTACATACTTCATTTGATAGAGATATAGATAAATCATGTCCCTTTCAATAATACCTTGTGTATTTATAAGTATGTGTAATTACCAGGCATTGTTCTAAGCACTGTAGAGATATTAACACACTTAATTCTCACAAAAATCTTGCAGGAAATATTAATTTATCCCCATTTCTTTCTGATGAGAAGACCGAGGTACAGAGGAATGACTAACTTGTCTACAGTCCCTCTAGTCAGTGGAGGAGCAAAGACCCAAGCCAAGGCAGCCTGACTCCACAGCCCATGCCCATAAATATGCTACCACTGAAATCTTGGGTGTTAGTTAACAAGAATGCTACATGAAAGACTCCTGATGAGCTTCATGAATACAAGCATCTAGGATGAAGGAGACTACAGTATATCTATTTTGTGAATGGAGCCAATGAAACCTTAAATAATATGTTGAGATCTGAGAATCCTATGCTGAGAGAGACATTTTAGGACCACCCAGAGGAGACAGACCACCATGGCAAAGGGTCCTAAGGGGAAAGCATGAGGAATTCGGGGTGGGAAGCTTGGGGAAGAGAAAGCTCAGGATGAGAAAGCTTGCCATCTTTTGCTAGCTCTGAGACCATCTTGTGGGGAAAGGGATGAGAATTATTTGGAGGTACCACTCTATTGCAGCACCAGTGGGTAGAAACTTCATGAAATGAGTCAGAGGTAAGAGATGAAAGAATGCTCCCTTCAGCAGTGGGTTCACATTCCCTGGTTGAGTGATTCTCACATGGGAGAGATTCTGTTCCCCATGGGACACTTAGAAATGTTGGGAGACATTTTGTTGTCACAACTGTGGGGAGGGTACTACTGGTCTACTAGGAAGAGAGGAGGGATGCTGTTAAAAATCCTGCAAGGCACGGGACAGGCTCCCACAAAACAGTTATCCAACCAAAATGTTCAGTATTGCTGAGGTCGAGAAAGCTTGCCCCTATGCTTGTCAGGCAGGGGACAGATAACCACTTAGCATAGGAAAATTAGTCAAACGATGTGATCTTTATAATCCCTTCAAAGCTGAGATTCTACAATTTGGTTATTCCAGCTTTGAGTTAAGTCTACCTTACCAATTTCATGAAGAGCAAACAGCTGATCAAAAGGCTTGATTGTAGCATGCTTGCTTGAGCCATTAGCATGCACTGCGAGTGGCTCACTCCCTCTGCTACTGATAAAAGTCCTTGGAAACCAGCATGCAGTATTTCTGTTCAGGGAATCTTTCCTGTACTCCTGGCATTCTTCGGTCCAGGAGCCATACCTAAATCGAAACACTCATAAGTTTTTAAGACTATAGGAAATGGTGTATTTGCATAAGTAACAACAGGTACTCACCTATAGTAGAGGAAATACTGTGTATCCTCAGGGGCATCCTTGCCGGCTAGCCAGCTGCAGTGAAGAGAAACTTGGTATGGCCTTAACGGAGTACGATTATTCACTGTGGTGTTTGTGGTACAGGTTAAATTCATGATTGAGGTTTCAGGAGACCCTAGATGACCAATAAGATGGTCAAAAATAAGAACAAAACATTGTCATGACAGTGTTTAAAATTTTGTACTTCCTCTGAAACTATATTGACAGGGGACATCTCACCATGAAAAGTAAGTAATTGTTAGCACAAATTTATAGATATCTATTTGTGAAGGACCAGCTCCCTGGGGGATGAAGCTAGGATTATAAAGCCTGAGTTTCTGACATTCAAAAACTTCTGTCTGGGGCATGTGGGTGGCTCAATCTGTTAAGCCTCTGACTTTGGCTCAGGTCTTGATCTTGCAGTTTGTGAGTTCAAGCCCCACATTGGGCTCCACACTGACAGCTCAGAGCCTGGAGCCTGCTTTGGATTCTGTGCCTCTCTCTCTATCTGTCCCTCCCCTGCTTGTTCATTCTCTCCCTTTCTCTCTCTCTCTCTCTCTCTCTCTCTGTCTCTCAAAAATTAATTAATTAATAATTATTATTTTAAAAATACCTTCTGGCTACTTGGGGCTAAGGGGTATATATGTGTGATATATAACAATAGATTGTCATTCAGAGCTTGGTGTCCAGCAACCTTGGTCTTCTAATAACACATCTTTCACATGTGACACTTTGAACCCCACTCTTCTGGGCCTCAACCTTTGCAACTGTAAATGAGAGAGTTGGGAGAGGAATGTCTCCAGAGCCACTTCCATCCTAGAATCATGGGAGTCATTGGGCTGCACGCAAATGTGTCGTCAATAACACAGATTGCTGCCCAGAAGGAAATGGGTTCTGGCAACACAGCATAATAACAACTCCTCTTCGGAGACGCCGCACACTCACATATTGAAGGCCACTTCAGCATGCAAAGATATTAGGGAATCTTGTGATTTTCCACCAAACCAATTATGTTCCTTTCCCCCAGGATTTCCAAAGATTATTTGGCGGGAAAGCCTTGTTTTCATTTCAAACTGCATTGTCAGCACATTAACAGGTGCTGTTCAGAACACACCGTGTTGACCCTGGCCTTGTGGTTGCTCAGAGGAGGGAAGGAGCACATTGGGCTGAGGGTCCAAGAGGACCTCATCAAAGTGAGAGCCTTTTGATTGAATCTCAAATGACAGAGGGGGTCTCATTCGCTTAGTTTAAGTCAATTGTATGATGAATTTATCACTGCCGGCCAGTGTAGTTCGAGGAGAAGACTGCAGTGAACTTAGACAAAAGGGACATTGGCTACTTTGTATTATTACCACGCACTGTCAGAGATGTTCCTTTCTATATATCCATATACAACAAACATGCATAGATTTATGTATATGCCTTGTAGAAAATGTACTGTCCATGCACTAAATGACCGGATGCTCCAAGCCCAAAGCATCCTTTAGAGTCTCCGCCCATCTGTTTGTCTCCCAGCTCTCTTCCAAGGAATTATTTGGTATGAATTCAGTTTGGTTCAAGGGAGAATCAACTGTGCATTAGTGTCAACGTATAGTGTCATGCTCAGAGAATAATTAGAATTGCAGAAATCTCATTCTGAAGGACGCATTACTGGTAGAGTCCTGTTACTTACTGAGGTGTGAAAAAGTAGTTTAAGGTAAGACACACAAAGGTCTGTATCCTGAGTCTCCTGTGGATCACTGTCTGTACTCGGAATCAAGGCCATTGTGAATTGGCTGCCAAATGGTCTAGGCCACGTGTTATGATGAATAAATGGGCAGACCTTTATAATGCTGCTCTCAGCCACACACGAAGTTCAGGAGGTGTGTGGCTTTTTCATTCAGGGATGTGACAAGACAGTGGTTGAACGATGATGACCCATGGGCCAGACTGGCTAAGACAACTGTCATACCCCGGGACTTGGTGAACCTTCTCTACTTTCTCTGGTGTGTGTTTCCAAGGGTTTCATCATGAGTATCACTGATTCTAAGTATTAGACACCCCAGCTTTCCTCCAAAGGACAGTATAGAGATAGTGGGAGCTGTCTCCTTTCTTCATGGCAGGTTGTTCAGTCTTGTGGCTTCTATGAAGCATCAGCTTTCTTCAATTTGTATGTAAAGTCATAGAATCCAGAACTACACACACACACACACACACACACACGCACACGCACACACATACACACACACACACACCTTGTTCTCCTGGCTGTAATAAAGCATGAGACACTGTCCCCGCTCCCAACAGGCTCATAGTCAAAGGGGGCAGGATCTAAATCTATTTATTTGTGAAAGATAATGTCATATGTGCCAAATGAGTAACACAGCCCATGAATGGGTTCTGGGGAGGAAGAACATTCTTCAGTGTATATAGGATGCAAAGTGAAAAGGCTTTATAGAGGAGGTAAGACTCGATCTGGGCTTGGACGTGGGAAGGATTCATATGGGCTTGAATCCAGGAAAGCAAAGCCTCCAAAGCAAGAATGAGCTGTTGTGTGGGGGTCAAGTTTAGAAAACTGGCTGAGAAAAACAGAGGACTCACGTAGGGTGTGGTTGGAAATGTCTTAGACCTGACTGGCCCTGATTCCATGTTGAGCCTGTGACTTGAAGCAAGGCAGTTAGAAGTGTAAGCTAGGTCTGCAGGGATGCAGCACATGGGATTGGAGGGTTATGACATTAAGACGTGACCACAGCCTCAGGACGTTAACGAGGAGGTAGAATACCTCACAGGAACTGCTGACTGACTACAGAAAAGAAAAGTCAGTTGTCCAACTTCACTGTATCTGCAAAGTCAGGAATCCAACGCAAGGCTGTTAGGAGCCTGCCTTACCAGGTGGGGCTTTAAGCTCAGCAGAAACCCAGCTGCTTGCTGGGAGGGGCTGGCCGTTCCAGGGGACCGTCTGCACACTTGCTGAGAAGCCTTTATGAAGAACGGTTACACGTTTGCTTTCAGTGTTCCTGGTTTCATACTAAAAATAAACCCCACAAATCATGATACATAAAAGGGAAAGAGCATTAAGAGAGCTATTTTAATCCAATAGCCATTTTCTTCCACTTTTTAAATGGCACATAAATAAAATGCAATTAAGTAGTTTGGCTAGATAAAAATAATTAGGCCCATGGTTTCATAGGTACAGATGTGCTTATCCCCAAACTCATCGAGTGATGCAGATATGCACAGCTTTTTTTGCACACCTTTTGTCTCTCAACAAAGTCTGATTTTAAAAAATGAGAGCCTCCTTGGGATTCTTTCTCTGCCTCTCCCCCACTTCGAGTGTCTCTGTCTCCCTCAAACAAACTTTTAAAAAGTACAATAATAGGAGAATTCCTCAATGATACATGAAGACATTCCTATGAGAACAAAATACTATAATTAAGGCACACATTTACTACAACCATCATTTCTAGTCCCAGTCTCTTCCCCAGAGGTAACTTTCTAAAGGAAAATTCTCTAGAATTCTGTATTGACTGAAAAAAATAGTTACTACTGTTTCTCTCTGTTTGATTTTACTGCACACCTCCTAGGTATCAGATGCCTTAACATATGCCCCGCAGTGGGTTACCCCAAAATTGCATCTCTCAGACCTAGAGTGGCCCAAGGTTGCCCAGATTTAAACTTGGCCTCTGTGGGCACAAACTCACAAACTCCGTGAGTGAGTTTCTCTTCTCCCTCCTCCCCTTTTTGTTGAATTCCATTCAATAGGGAAAATGCAGTCAAAATGAAAATTTGCCTCTAAAGAAAGACGCCGTCAGAACAAATACTTACATCTTCTTCTTGTGGAGCATTTATTCTCACGTGATAGCCTAGCTCTATATTCGTTGGCTCTTGATCGGGATTTGATTCCCAATGCAAAAGAACTTGCGAAAGGCCAGTAACTTTGATGGTGAAGTTGGTAGGTGGGAGAAGTGAAGCTGTTAATTAAAAGGACCAACGTGATATTCAATTGTATGGACATAGCAGTTTAAATTTTAAAAACATTTTATTGTACAGTACAGGATTGTATGATTATTAGAATAAAGAAAACTGAAATAATTTTGGAAAAAGTTGCTTTAAAACTGCTTTTAACTCTGTATCTTTCTAATTTTGCCCAAGTGTTTACCTAACATATAGGCATTTTACCGAAATATGAGTATCTTAGTATTCATTATAACCATACTTTTCAAACTGAGGGCCATTTATCTATTAATTGGGAAAACTTATTGGTGTGTGGCTAGAATTTTCTGTAATGACATGTAAGAAAATAGAATAGAAAATATCACGGTGCTTGAAATATAATTACTATTTCGTGAACCTCTTGTTTCTACTATATGAAGCTACTTCAATATTTGTGTATGCACTGGTTCATGATGTAAAATGAATTTATTTCTCATTATGAATCAAAGTCAAAAAATTTGACATGTAGAGAAAACAGCGTTCTTTTTTTCGTTAATGAACCACTCTGTTTTCAAAATAAAAGCTTTCCTTTAAATTACACAATCAGGGGCGCCTGGGTGGCTTAGTCGGTTAAGCAACCGACTTTCGCTTAGGTCATGATCTCGCGGTTCGTGGGTTCGAGCCCCGCGTCGGGCTCTGTGCTGACTGCCAGCTCAGAGCCTGGAGCCTGTTTCAGTCTGTGACTCCCTCTCTCTCTGACCCTCCCCTGCTCACGCTGTCTCTCTCTCTCTCTCCTAAAAATAAATAAAACATTAAAAAAAATTAAAAAAAAATAAATTACACAATCAATGCCCGTTCATTTTTGAAATTTGGGAAAGCGCAGGTGAGCAAAAAACAAAATTACCTATAATCCTGCAACTGAGAATAGTGTTCATGTGTGAGATAACTTGTGGTTAGTGGCTACTATACTGGACAACGTGTATATAGAACAGTGTCATTATCATAGAAAATTGTCTTAGACAACACTACATAGGGACCATGTGACAATTTTCTTCTCTTAGACTCTCAGTGTGGCAAAAACATGGATCAGCAAGTTTCTGAACCGCACAAGGTGGAAGTTTTTTATTCTTTGGTTATGAGGACTTGTAACCATCCCCTTGCATGGGATAACATTCCACGTGTGGTCACCAGCTCCGGCTTTATTCCATAGAGCCGCATAGTGCCCGTACACCGCACCCGGAGTATGGTTCCTCCTGGAGCATAACATTTGTGTTCCAGTCAACTTTGCTCTCTTAAAGTATGGCATGTTTAAAGAGTTTGTATTCCGATGTGAATAGATATTCTCCTTTAAAAAAATCCACACAGAATTTCCTAATAGAGGATTATTTGGGAGAACATAATGCCATCATTTTGGTAATGCATTATTTTCCAAGAAACACTAGAATTTAATAGATGGTACCCACGTTTTTTATCAGCAAGTGAGCCAGCTCTCAGTATCACCGTAGCCCCCAGGAGAATCAGTAATGCAGGTGCCATAATAATCACATCCTACAGGAAACAGAAAGACGAAGATCCAAATCACCACCCAGTGCCATTTTTAGGAAAAACTGGCAGCTACCTTTTAACGTAAAATGTAGCCATTTGCTTATTTAACAAACAGTTATGAACAACCTGTTATGTGCTAGAAATACAAGTACGAACGAACAAATCTTTTTTTTTTTTTTAATGTTTTATTTATTTCAGAGAGAGAGCAGGGGAGGGTCAGAGAGAGAGGGAGACACAGAATCTGAAACAGGCTCCAGCTCTAGCTGTCAGCACAGAGCCTGATGTGGGGCTCGAACCCGCAAACCCTGAGATCATGACCTGAGCCGAAGTCGACACTTAACCGACTGAGCCACCCAGGCGCCCCTCAAACGAACAAATCTTGAGTTTTATCTCTCAAATGTAGATCCATAGCTGGAGGGGCTAATGTAAATGAAATGGAGACTAGAGAATGAAATGTAAGTGAATACTTGCAGTCCGGTTAAACCCTGTTGCATTAAAGGTGTGAATGGAACACCGCAGGAGTTCAGAGACTTCCGAAATGACTCCTGAGGAATTATCTAGAGTTCTTTTTAAAAAAAAAAAATAATTTATTGTCATATTGGCTTACACACAGTAGCCAGTGCTTCATCCAGAGTTCTTGACACACCCAAATGGGAAAGGCACTCGCAGGGGATTGCAGGGGGAAGGCAAAGCCAGAGGAGCAGAAATTACGTTGGAGACGTACTGAGTGGGAGACCACAGCAGATCTTTGAAGAGTAAACTTTCTTAGGCACAGTTAATCAAACTGAAAATAAATCCCGTAACAATTTTCAATAATGAGCATTTAAATATGGGCCCAGAAGCTTAAGTCTAAAAGAATCTCAATGTGGGAAAGAGAAACTTTGTATCACAAACCTCGCAATAAACTTCTGGTACTTTGAGCTTTGGAGAGGCTGAGTTTTTTGATGAATCCTAACCCGGGCAGGCCATTAAAGGAATACGAAACAGAGTTACGGCCCCAAGGAAAAATAAAACCCTATTTACACCTACTTGAAATCACTGGACAATGAAAATGAATGGAGATTTAAAATGTTCTAATAACTCAATGCAGCAGTCTGGAGAGAGTGGGTATCATGTCAGCATCTTGTTTTACAAGTTGTCAAAGAAGGGAATTGATCCCTTGCTGGGATTTATGCGTTAGAAATCTTGAGTATTTCTTCTGAAAATATGGAAAGGCATTTCTCATATGAACTGGACTTCAAGGCATAATATTAACAGCCTCTCCTGTTGTGCACCACGCTTACTTTGACAAAGCACTTCCTCCTATTACCTCTCGTGCATCCCCTTTGATTCAGTGGGTGGCCCACATGGTTTTTAGTCAATTTACAATGAAGAAAAGGAGTCTGAAGGGTTAAATAATTTGCCAGTGATCAAACAGCTCATAATTATGGAATTTAGACCCAATCTTGGGTTTTCCAACAGTAAAGTCTACATTCTGTACTAATTTAAATGACTTTTAGTTTTCAGTTTAAAAATTTATTTAAAAAGGGGCGCCTGCCTGGCTCAGTCTGAAGAGCATATGAATGTTGATCTTGGCCCCCCATTGGGTATAGCAATTACCTAAAAATAAAACCTTAAAATATTTATTTAAATGGGCTGGTATTTTGCAAACATAGTGCTGATAGAACCACAGAAGATAGACCTTAGCTAAAAAGGCAAAAACAGAACAAAACAAAACAAAACAAAAAAACCCAAAAAAACCCCAGAAACAAAAACAAAAATATACCATTTTGAATCATTATTTTTTAGCTTACTATTTAACCAACTTACTACTTAACTTACTACTATCACTCTTAACTTGGTAATGAAATTAGTAAAATATCACAATATAGAAGACAGAGACAATACAAATCATTCAATTTCTTCTTCAAATTTAAGTATTGCTAATCAGAATTACACTACTTGTGTGAAAAATAATTTCTTTTACTCTGATTCCATACTGGGCAGAAACAAAATTTTTAAAATGGCAATGACCATAAAAGCAGGTTTTTTATTACTTGGAAATTTTTTAACAATTAAGAATGTTAAGGAGTTAAAGGGAAGCATTAGCAATTTACTGAAGCTGAGAAGCAAAGACGCAAAACTAAAACCAAAAAAAAAAAAACCTTTAACAAATAACACTGCTCTCCAACTTGAGAAGGTCATGTCTTTGAAATGTCAGCATTTCCTGAAATGATATCATATATGCTCTAACTTTGCACTAATTGTCATTAATAGGAATTCTAGGTTAGAAAAAAAATGCAAAATTGGTATTCCCTAGTGATTTTTACTGACAAAGTAAATAGTAGGTTGTAACCAAACAGCTATATTTGTCCTTCTCAGTTAAATAATTGACGTGATGAAACTGTTGAATACCTAAGTGGGGAGATAATTGAATATTTTACATAGCCAAGCACCTCCTCTTTGAATTTGTTGTGTACTGATTGTATAGCTGCTGAAAATAGAATTATTTTTCATATTTGGTCACTCACAAGTTTTTCAATGGTTAACTTTTTTGCTATAAGACAGTCGTGTGCTTATTTTCATATCTCATTGTGGTATTTTCTATTCAAAGAGGTGATGCTTTTGAAGGGAAATCAATGGTCCTATAGACCACACAAGATACTCCAATAAAAGTCTAAATATTAAGGAGAATGACAATTTTTTTGTGAGCCAGATTAAGTTCCCCTGAAGACTGGATATTACTGGAGCTGCAACTGATGCATATTTTCCGCAATCCTGTGCGTTCTCTGTGCCTTGACCCACATCTCTCTGGGCCATGTCTTTAATCCAAAGATACTTTGTTCAATAGATGTCAACTGGGCAACATTTCATTGTACAAGAAAGAGCTACATCTTAGCTTAAAAATACATCAAAATGGCAATATGATCAACTATTTCTCATGGCTGCCAATTAAGATCCACAAGAATGCTATGAAGTTGTTAAAATAAGATTCAGATTAAGCAGAAGGAAGAAGACATGGGTTGCCTGCCTACAGTTCTTAGACATACAAGCTCAGCCTTGTAGAGATATCATAGGCTGTCACATATTCGTGTGACATTTCATCGAGTCAATCTAAAATTCCTCGAGTCCTCTCTAAGAATTTGGCTTCCGGTAAGTGTTAGATTCTTTGAAATTTGGAAGAAAGCAGGAGTACAACCTCTCGCACTATAGATGTTTCCAGAGAGTTGAGTAAAGTTTTGGCAATTGGCAATGGATTTCCCCAGTGTTCCTAAGAATTGGTCAAATTCTACTGAAGTTCAGACTTAAAAATACTTTCCCCTCTTTTTTTCTTTTCAACTTTTTTTTTTTTGCCTGGGGCATTTGTCTTATAACCAAAGTTATATATGCAACCTTGTTTTTAGAGCATTTTTGAGTCAGTTGTGGTGACATCTAATTCCAAACTCAACCTCAGTGCACAGAAATTGAAGAGCAACTGAGAGGATTCATGCTCTGTTAGGCTCTTAAAAGTAAAGAGTTGACCTTGTACTTCCTCTTTTTTTCCTGTACAGTGTAATCAGCAATAAAATTCATTGAGGGAGGAAGAATAAATAAATAAACCAAGGTGTAAAATGCAAATGACACCTTTAGCCCTTAGGTATATTGCATTATCCTCCCCCCCACCCCACCCAAAGAAAAACTGTGGAGGCTTCCTAAAAATATAAATGAGTTATAAGGATTCTGTATAATGCATGCAATTTTTCCCTAGTATTCCTGGATTTGGGTTAATTGTCTGAAGTAGTCATAAAATGTAGCTCACAGGTTCAAATTGTTGCCCTACCCAGACATAAATGATCTTCTGCCAATGGTGTTGCCAAAATGAGCAGATGGAAAATGAAGTTAGAAGGACTTGGCTGCTAATCTCCCAAAGTGGCTCAATGTCTGCCATATAATCGAACGTGGTGCGATTTGTCATCCCGCCTCCAGGATCCCCTATTCCCAGGCTTACCTGCCTCTGGCGATCCTCTTTTCTCCAAGGACCATGCTCAAAAGGAGAGGGTCAAGGCCAGGTCCATCCTAGCTGTGTTCGGCTGCAGCCCCAGCACCTAGCACAGTGTCAGACACAGGGCAGATGCTAAATGTGCCTGGCCCTGTATAGAATAGACGCAAATTAATACACTAGCCCCACCAGGTCAAGCCCTGTAGGGTAAAACCTATAGCATGCGGGCAAAACAGACCAGAGCACGGCAGGCTGGGAGCCTGCAACAAGCCTGGTCTGTTTGCAGGAAGGTGTGATACATTTGGTACCTTGCCTAAAAATTTCCCTAAGCAGCATTTTAAGTACCGAAAACAAATGAGGTGATTTGATGATCAAATGTTTACTATGTTTTGAAATGCAGACTGTTCACCAATAGTTACATACATTAATATATTTTTCAATAACTATGAAGGGGGACATAACCTTTCCTACAAAATAAAAATTGTACCAGCCAATGACATTTTTGGCATGATAATTCATTAAATTGCGTATCAAACACGTTGATCAGTAATGACTATGAAAGCAGTCACTTTTCATATGTTTATGAATGTTCGGTTTGTGGGGTATTGAAGTATTTTGATTTTTTCTCTCTCCATTTTATTAAATTTTCCCTTCGATCCATTTCTTCTGTGTGTGTGTGTGTGTGTGTGTGTGTGTGTATGTGTGCGTACATATACATGTTTGTTACTTTGGGTGAATAATTAACAAAACCAAGTGAGATATTTCAGCTATTTAGATATCAGCTATTTCAAATTTTTGTACATTTTATATCAAGTCAAACAGTCTTCAAAATCCCAGAACCCACAGGAGACACAAAAGGCAGATGCCTTCAACTAGATACAATGCGATCTCCTTTTTGTGGTGGTTCCTTCATCTGTAGCTTTCTGAATTTATTCTGAAATGTCCTCACCAAGATATTTAATTAAAAAATCCTATGCCCTCTAAACTCATGTATTTTCTAAGAACTCTTGGCAGAGTATATATTTTCATTGTAATCCCTACAGTATTAGCAGCAGTGGCAAACAAGTCCCCTATATAAGCATCAACAAAACCGTAGGCGTTTTGATAATATGACTCACCTTGCCACGGATTTGCCCTCCCAGCTACTTAGCTAATATACAAGAATAAAATGCTGTACCCAGAATCGATATGACCTGCCTTATAGATACTGTGTATAGCACCATTATTAGTTCCATGTCTGCTAATTATAGTTATAAGGGTTTTGTTTCCCCTTTTTATTTAAAAAGTTGCCCTATATTTATAAATCATTATTACTTTTCTTATCCCCCTCCCCTCATCCCTGTTTAATGAAATTATTAGGAGGTGGAGCACAGGGTTGTCTTAGAGCGGGGAAAAGGCATTTACTCACTTTGCAATGAATCAGCCTTGGATCCCCACTTGCTGCGAAGTGCGGTGGCCATGCCATCAGACGCAGCTGCAAAGGCATTGAAAATGAATCTTATCTCTGGCTGCACTTTTTGACTTAGAGGCGGTTCTTCTTTATTGTTTCATCATCAACAGCTGTAATGGTTACAAACTCACAGGCAGTTGGCTTTACAAAGTGAGGGCGGCAAGGCTCTTAGTATATATCCAGGAGCATTTGTAAGAGCAATTAGGGGGCCAGCCCTAGAGGAAACTCCCAAGTGAATGAAATGAAAGAATCTCTCTTGTGCCGATAGCTGCTATCTGATAACGGTCTCCTCTGCGTTTTCATTCTCTTTTGAGGTGTTTAGCTCTGTTCAGGAACTGAAATGAACATTTATTCCCGGGGGTTGAGGTAACCAAGTTTTCTGTGGGCTCTGTCAAGCACTGCATTCCTAGGATCTTTATGTGCTTCATTCAGCGAAGGTATGTGTTGCTGATACACAACACGGGGCACAGGACATAACAAAGAATGGCGCCCAAGGAATAGGTCTCTCTGCGTGCTGAGCGTTAGCCTTTCCCTGCTTTGCTAGCCGGCCCTGCACCCACCAGTACATATGTGTGCTAGGGAAGGGCAGGGAGAGTTTCTGGGTGTCCTAAACTGCTGACAGCTGAACAAATGATGACAGAGGTAGTGTGAGTCTGTGACAAGGCCCGGGACCTTCTCTCTTCCATCTCTCCCCCGGTTCCCAGCAGAGCACCTAGCTGTCCTCAGCATGCTTTAAGTAAACTTCGTTGTTTTTTTTTTTTGTTTTGTTTTCTTTGTTCCATTTCTGTCCAGGAATTTTGAGGTGACTGACTAGCAAAACTAAAAAAAAAAAAAAAAAAAAAAAAAAAATTGTGTCCCAGGGTGTCAATGGATAAGAGAAGCACTTATCGTGTGAAGCATCTGGGCCAGATACTAGTCGGTGCCTTTGTAAGGGGACCTCCAGTCTTAGCCCAAGGAGCTGAGTGATGACGGCCTGTGAAAAGCCAGTGCAGGGAGAGTGGGAAACAATTTGGCGACTGTGAGGTGAGATCAATTCCGTTTGCAGGGTGGGGAACCACAAGTTCTCTGAAGGAGCCTTCCCAGGAGGCTCAGCACATGTAATGAGTAAGGGGGTAGTGACTGGGCTTCTTAAAGTGTCTGGTGTAGCAGTTCCCAAAATGAAACTAGACCAATCATTATTGGATGACCTAAAAATGTGATTTCTTCTGGGGAAAGGGAAAGTGGCCGAAGGAATGGAGAGAGATCCATTTATTTGCTAAGAGGCCCCCAGAAAAGTTGAGGTGGAGTTATCCACCTCAGACCTACTCTTTGATGTCCCACACATCTAATTTTAGGTATAGCATACTCTAGAAGCCCTAAAAATAGTTATTAATCATTGTGAAGGCCATGGTTTCCGGCCTCAAAGTCTGCTTTCACGTTGTATTTCTTATATTCATTTATTCAAGAAGTATTTCTTGAATGCAGCGGTTGCAGGAAGCTTTGCCTCAGTACCCAGGATTCGTTGTCTTCGGCTTCGAAAAATAAAGAGGTGGACACAGAATAAAATGAGCAGCAGGCAAAAGTTTATTACAGTATAAGATCAGAAAGGAAGAAGAGTATGAAAGAAAGCTCTCCCTATAGAGAGGGGGTGTTTGAAAGTGAAAAGTGAATGCCTGACTATAGGAAGGGACTCTGTTTTATAGGGTTTGGGTAGGGACCCACTCCTTCCCCTTTGTTCCTTCTCAGGCTCTCTCCCCTTATTGGTGGGGTAACTCCAAATGCCTAGTCATTCCTTTTTGATTGGCTCGTTTCCGTTGTATGAGGGCTGGTCTATGGCCATACTGGTCCTTGTGGGTCATATATTATATTTTCAGTCAGGTTTTTTGTTAAATTCCTGAGGGAAATCTGAAGGGCGTAGGTGGTATCTTGTTACACTGTTAAAAGGAACCTTATAACTGAGGGTGTTTGCTTGAGTTCGGATGTTCCCAGTAGAAGTGTTTTAAAGGAAGCGCTTTCCCCACCGAGGCACCTTGAAGCCCTATCATCTGCATTTCTGCCTGTTGTTCCCTATCATACCGCTACGCACGGTTCCAGGCACTGTTAAGGATATAAAGAAAATTACACCTGGCTTCTATCCTCCGTACCATCTTCTCAGATATAGGATCCTTTATCAACTCTACCAATAATCATTTTTAAAATGTGTTCACATTTTGTCTCCATGTCCTATTTCCCCTTTAGCCTGAAGGAAAGTGAGGGCTTTGTATAGTTTCCTTTTTGTGGCAACAGTTTTTTTCCTTAAAATAAACTGTAAACGTCCAAAAATGGAATAATGGAACATGCTGGTAGAATTCCCCCAAATTGTTTTTTTATTTTTGATTTTTAAGTAAAATCCAATCTGTATTCTTTTATTATTTCATTTTTTTAACTTTTTTTTTTTTTTTTGAGAGAGAGACACAGCATGGGCAGAGGACGGGCAAGAGAGAGAGGGAGACACAGAATCTGAAGAAGGCTCCAGGCTCTGAGGTGTCAGCAGAGAGCCCAACGCAGGGCTCAAACTCATAAAACCATGAGACCAGGACCTGCACCAAAGTTGGACACCCAACCAACTGAGCCGCCCATGCTCCTCTGTCTATATTATTTTAGAAGAAAAAGAACCTGGGTTTAGCCAAATAGTATAGGTGAAAATATAAACAGGATAACAGGAACTCAAGATTCAGTGGCCCCACCTAGGACCACTGTTACGGAAGCTTGTGGAAGGTATCTATTCCTAGGAATCCATTCCATGGAAATAATGTGAAATGTAGACCAGATTTATATAAGAGAAAAGTGAAATTCATTGTAGCTTTACTTGTAATGGGAAAGTAATACAAGGATGAGAGATAACTTTCAAAGGTTGAAGTATGTAGATATGAAGTATTTATTGATAACTCTTAATATAGGGTATTATGGAAAAATGTTAAAAGCAATAGGAGAGCAAGTATACACAGATAGATAGATTTCTTTTTCATGATCTCATTTTTGATCAGAAGACCAAACTGATAGGAGTGGTTATCTCTAAGCGGCATGTTATTAGTTAGCTATTGCTACAGAACAGCCACCCACAAACACCGCAGTAGTAAACATTGATAAGCATTTGTTTCTTGCCCAAGTGGCTGACTTTTGATGAGAGCCTGGCTAAATTTGGCCGGGCTCCGGATCACAGAGTGGGGTCATGAGTGTTCGAAGCATCTGTCATTCACTGGGAACCAGTGGCTACCCAAGGCAGATTCTTCTTACGGGTGATAAGAAAAGTGCAAGAGGGCACAACCAAGTGCACAAGTCTGTTTCAAATATCTGCTAATGTCACATTCACTGGCATCCCGAGTCAGAGCAGAATACATGGCCACACCCAGGGTCAAAAGAACTCATCCCACGGTACACCCCACCCACGTGATAAGGCCATGATAAGGGTGTGGATGTATACAGCTGCTAGCCAGCAGCGAAGAATGGGAATCAATGATGGGGTGCCTGGGTGACTCAATTGGTTAAGCTGCCAACTTTTGATCAGGTCATGATCTCATGGTTCATAAGATTGAGCCCCACATTGGACTCTGTGCTGACAGTGGAGAGCCTGCTTGGGATATTCTCCCTCCCTTTCTCTCTCCTCTCTCTCTCTCTCTCTCTCTCTCTCTGTTCTGCCCTGCCTTTCCCTGGTGCTCTCTCAAAATAAATAAGTACACTTTATTTTTTTTTAAAAAATGAATTGGAACCAATGTTTTATCTACTGTAGTGGGATGAACCAGTCCTTTAATTTTCTTCTTATGCTCATACAAATATTTTATTCTGTATAAATGCAGGAGAATAAAGTATTAGAGACATGCAGGTCAGTGGAATGGAACTGAGAGTCCAAAATAAGCTCTCACATTTATGATTGATTGATTCTTGACAGGGAAACGAAAATAATTCAATGGGGGAAAGGAACAGTCTTTTTAACAAATGATGTGTAAATATGCAAAAGAATGATGTTTAAGCCCTACCTCATACCATGTACAAAAATTAATTCCAAAGAAATCAAATACTTAAAAGTGAAAACTAAAACTATACAATTCTTAGAAGAAGACATAGGCATAAATCTTAGTAACCACACATACGGCAGTGACTCCTTAAACATGACCCAGAATCACAAGCAGTGAAAGGTAGATAGATTGGACCTCAGCAAAATTACAAGTTTTTATCCTGGAAAGGACACCATAATGAAAAGACAATCCACTGATTGGGAGAAAATATTTACAAATTATATATCTGGTAAGGAATTTATAACCAGAAAAAAATATGAGGAAATCTTCCAACTCAACAACGAAAAGACAAATACCCCAATGAAACAATGGACAAAGGATCTGAGTGAATAGGTCTCCAAAGCAAATGTACCAATAACCACCATAAACATGAAAAGCTGTTCAACATCATCCATCAGAAAAATGCAAGCCAAATCCACAAGGAGATACCTCTTCACATCCACAAGGATGGTTAAAATAATAATAAAATATAATAATAGTGTTGTTTGGGGATGAGAAAACAGAACCCTCATAGACCACTGGTGGGAATGCAAAATGGTACAGACACGTTGGAAAAGTCAGGCAGTTCCTCAGACAGTTGAACATAGAGTTGAACATATGACTTCACTCAAAGTAAATACCTGAAAGTGTTGAAAACTGAGATCCCAAGATCTCAAAAATGTGTGTGTGAATGTTCATAGTGTGATTCATAATAGCCAAAAAGTAGAAATAACACAAATGTCTGTCAAGCAGTGGTTAAGAATATATGGCATATCCATCCAGTGGAATGTTACTAAGCAATGAAAACAAATGAAGTACTGATATATGCTGGAACACGGCTGATCCTTGAAAACCTGAAGCTAAGTGAAAGAAGCCAGTTCATAAAAGACCAAATGTTATATTGTTCCAATTATATGAAATGTCTAGAATAGGCAAATTTATAGAGAGAGGAAGTAGATTAGTGATCACCTAGGGCTGGATAGGTGGAATGTGTGCAAAATAGGAAGTGACTGTCAGTGGCTGTGGGGTTTCTTAGGGGGTAAGGAAAATATCCGCAATTGATTTGATGATTGCCAACTC